TGGTGGCTGTGCCTGTCCCTGTCCCCAGCAGGACCAGGGCTGGGGAACCGAGCTGTGCTGGCAATGGTGGTGTTTTGGTGCATGTTTTGAGGGTGCTGCAGAGCAGGGAGTGCGGGGGGACTGGGAGGGGATGCAGGTGCCTCGTTTGCAAGGTGCACGCTCCAGCGGTTAATGCCAGGATGCCCTGCGGGCAGCAAGGGAGATTCTGCGCGGGTTCGCTGCCGCAGCCCCGCACATCTCGCCAGGGAGGGGAAGGCAGGAGCAGTCGTTTTCTGGAGGTTTGCAAGTCTGGAAAATAAATAGCCTTGCGCTGTAGGTTAAGCTTGGCATCCTGGCGGATTAATCACGCTGGCTGCAGCCAGCACTGAGAGCCCCGGTGACGAGAGCTGTGGTTTATAGATGATGATTCATCGACTCGACTTAGAGCGACCACGTTATTCCAGCAGATTGCAAAATCATAAGAGGAATGTTGTGGTTAGTTTACGGCTTAACTATGCAAATCGTCAGGAAGCCTTCAGAGCCGGAGAATGTAAGGCACAGCGCGCCCGGATGGCTGGGCGGTGAGCAGGGGCTGGGAGCCGGCAATGGGGCTGTCGGGAACTGGCCGCTCGCGGGAGCCGGGGAGCGGGGAGGTGAGTGATCTGGGGGGAGATGAGGGTCTGGAGCTCATGGCGAGCGTGCCAGCAGCGGGGCTTCATAGGTGGGGAATCGCCGCCGGCTGGGAAGGGGTTTCTGGCTGGTTTCACCGTCTCTGTGCCAAGGCGGCAGACGTCTTCTGCAGGGCTGGGGAGGGCGAAGGTGGGGAGCTGCTTCCCCCACCTCCTCCTGCCCTCCTGTCCTGCTTCCAGAAGCAGGCAGAGCCTGGCGGAGGAAGTAAACAGAGTGGGAGGAGCTGCACCTCTTCCTTGCCGGGGCTTTCTCCCAGCCAGACCCGCTGCCGGGGCATGCAGCAAGTTGGTCGGTTCTCAGCAGGGCCAGTGTTGCGATATCTGGGACCTACCTGGAAGCTGGTGTTCCCCAAAAGCGTGCTTGGAGCCGGAGCTTTGCGGCGGCTGAAATCCCTGTGATGTGCCAGCCTGATGGAGCTGGCCAGGCAGGGCGAGCAATGTCGCTCCGGAGCGTGGCGTTCCCGGGAGGGCTGGCAGCGCTCTGCGCCTCTCCAGCTGCTCCGGGGCCGGTGGGAAGGTGGGGTGGAGGTGAGCAGATGTTTGTAATTACGGAGCAGCTCACGCCGGAGCGCAGGGAGCGTGCGGGGAAAGAGGCCGTGCATCCCGGTGGGCTTGGAGCGGGATCGTCCTCTCGCTCATGCATCCCGTGTGCAATTTTGTCCCGGGGCCTTTTTAAATAAACAGGATGTGTCGGCAGCAAAAACAAGCAGCAGCGATGCTGGGGAGGAAGGGCGGTGCGGCGGTTAGGGCGTCCGACCTGGGAGGGAGGGACAGGAGGGACAGCCCTGCCCTCTGCCACAGGCACCTTCCCTGGCCTTGGGCACATCCCTTCACCTTCTCATGCAAGGTGGAGAGCAGGTACCTGCGTTGCCTCCAGGAGGTGGGGTGTCTCATCTCTGGGGGGGCAGGGATGTAGGTAGAGAGAGGTTCAAGCTTGCCAGGAGCTGAGCAGTTTTGGTGCCGGCCTTTGGCATGTCTGCCAAGAGCTGACCCACCTGCTGGTCCACCTCTAACCGGGGCAACGTGAATCAGAGGGAAACATCGGCTGGTAATTGGGGAAGCATTTCCTGGCCTGTCACGCTTTGGGATGGCGTCCCGTCCCTTGAATCATCATCCAGAGCTGGTCCGTGTCCAGCGCTAAGAATAGCCTCCCCGTGCACTGCGGGGGCAGCTGCGTGCCGGGGCCGGGGTGGGGACTGGCCGGCTCGCAGGTTCCCGGCTGTGACTTCCCAATGCTGTGCCGTGGTCTGGTTCTGATGCTGGCCGGTCTGAGGTTTGGGGTAGAGCACGTAGCGCAGATGGGCCGAGGCAGCTGCTGTGGTCGGTCCCCAGGGGGATGTCCCACCTCCTTTCCCCACGTGCCGCTTGTAGCTGAGCTCTCAGGCAGCTTTGTTTGGGACCCTGGGGTCCCCTCTCCCCACCAGAGCTCTGGGGTGCTTCAGCCAGCCCGTGGCCTCCAGCCCAGCACGTACCCCTGGGTGGGATGGAAGGTGGCATTCATCAGCCTGGCTGTCCCTGGAGGTGTTTTCTGGGGTGTTTGGGGGGTGCCCTGCTGTGCAGCCGAGCCCTGGCACAGGAGGTAAGCTGTCACCGCGTGCTTGCCAGGGTTCAAAGCAGTATTGGGCCAGGAGCCTTCTTTAGACGAAGGGTGAAGTGGGCGACAGTTTTCCCTGCCACGGCCTCATGGTGATGGTGCTGCCCCATTTATGCATTTCAGCCCAGTGGGTGAGGGCTGGCAGGTGAGAGCCATGGGGTGCCGTCCTGCTGTGCACAGGGTGCTGCGCCCACCCGGCTCTCACTCCTGGGATCGGCACCCTGCCGTGGCCAGAGCAGGGCAATCACTAGAGGGCATCCTTGGATCGAAATCTCTGCTGTGGGAGAAGCCCTAATTTGATGTCCCACCAGACTGGGCTTGAAACCTCCCAGAGGAGCGGGGTGCACAGCGGCCCACTGAAGCTGGGCCAGCGGGGCTCGCCTGCCCTCGGCACGCTGGAGCTCGGTGGGTGCCTCTCCAGGGAAGCGCCTGTGTTGCAGCGTGTCTCCGCAGCCGCTCGTGCCTCTCCCTGCCTTTCCACCCCTACGTTTGCAGAATGGTGCAGGGAGCTCATTAGCATCACCGCCATCCCAGCCTCTTCCTCTGGGGAAGAGCTGCGGTGGCTGCTAAGGGTGACAACCCTCTGGTTTGAACAAGTGTGGAGGCAAGATGAGATGATGCTAGAGCTTCCCTTGGGAGCCCATGGCAGCCTGACGCTGGGGCAGGGACTTGTGTGGTTGCAACTGAGTTTATGCCCCGGGGAGCTGGGATCTCCGGGATGCAGGGTTTCCATCATCCCCCAAGTGGAAATATTCACAACAGGGTGGTAGAAATACTGCAAAACTCATCCAGGCTCCCCTCCCTTGCCAAAGCACTTGGTGAAGGGAACGTGGTGGGTAGTGATGGCCAGGGCCGGGGCAGAGCCTGTGCTGCTCCCTGCCCAGCCCTCGGAGGTCATAGCCCTCACCTCGTGGGTATTTGTCGGGGCTGAACCCACGCTCAGGGTTCACCACGGTGTGACTCAGGGAGTCAGAGAGTTCAGAGCAGCGCTGGGAAAGGTGTGTGATGAGTGCCCCTTGCTCTTCTGCCGCCAGCGCAGGCTTGTCCGCCTCCTGGTGCCAGCAGGCTTGCTGGCTGCCCCCTGCTTCTCTCTGGGGTTGGGGGCTGGCAAGGGCAGTGCCTGGTGCTGTTGCTTGGGCATTTGCTGCAGGAGACAGCCCGTTCCCTGAGCGTTAGAGATTTATGGACACCGGAAAATCTTAAGCGACTGAGTGCTCATCTCAGCCGTTCCCCAGCATCCCTTCCTCAGCCCCCCCGACCTTGCATCCCGTGACGCCGTTCCCGGTAGCATGGTGGGGGTGTGAGCGGATGCGGTGCAGGTGTGTTTGGCATGAGTGCTGGTGTGGAGGTGCTGGGGGGGCCGGCCAAGCCTCCACGCATGTGCTGCCAAGCGTGGGTCCTGATGGTGTGGCCGCCTTCCCCTGAGGGTGAGGAGGAATTGAAAGTCCACAGGGTTTCAGTGGTGGCAGCATCTGTTTTGTAAGGACTGTGTTGAACTGGGGCCTCAAAGAATCAGAAGCTTTCTTGTTGAAATGCTCCAAAGCCCATTTTGACAGCTCTGCACTTCTCATTTTAGCACCAGCCCGTGGGCGCAGAGGGTTGAGCTCACACCCAGCGCCGCTGCTGTGAGGACGCCTGGGTTCAAGGCAGCTTCCCAGCTCCCGCAGAGTGGGGACAGGCCAGAGCCCCGGCTCGAGGGGTGCAGGCACACCTCATCTGCGCTTGGCCAAACGACTGCGTGACAGCTAGACCAGGCTGCCCGTTTCTTGCTGATAAATCCACTTTAAGGCAATTTCCACCCCGTTACATCACCAAACCCTTTCCCAAGGGGTGTTGGAAGCCCTGTGGCTTGGGCAGGGCCCAGGCGAGCCCGGGTGGGTTTCTTGGCACGAGTAGCCCTGCGTTAGCCAGGAGCAGGATGGTTTAATAAATGATTTCCATCTCTAATTTCTACTTCTCTGTGAAATGCCTCTCGTTTGCCGGTTGCCAGAGGGAAGGGAGGTCAGGGGAACCAGGCCTCCCCAGCATCCTCCTTCCTGCAGCTGTTGAAACAAAATCCAGAACTATTACAATCACTGTGTCGCTCCCTCGGGTGCTGCGGCGTCTTCAGTCTGAGCAACAGCAGTGGCGCTGGGGCAGTTGGGTGCATGGCCACCACTGAGGGTGCCAGGTGGTTCAGAGAGGGCACGGAGCCAGGCATCTTCCAGTCTCAGTGATATGGAGCCATAAACTTTCCCCATGGGCCATGTTAGATGCTTGGTAAAAGGATCACAGTGTTGGTATTGCTGAGCCTCGGGGCATCTCTGGTGCCCCCGTCTCCTTCATGCTCCAGCAAAACGCATCCTACCGGTTGCAAATTGCAACCGATGTTGCTAAGGCATCATCTACAGGGAACAGGGGGGTTGTTCTCACCTCCCTGCCTTCCCCCGTGTCGGGTCCTTGCTCGCTGCCTGCAGACCCCGGGGGAAGCCACAGGGGCTGTCCTGCTGTGTGCAATGGGAGCTGGAGCACAGCTGCCCTGCCTGATCCCAAACTACCTCTGATCTCCCCGGAAAGCTTTCGGCCCCCATGGCCTCCGTAAGCACCATGCCTGTCCCCCCTGCCTGCAGCGCTTTTTCCTCTTGGCCGCTTGCCCCCCAGCATTGTTTCGCTGCCTTTGTTTGGGTTGGCCCAGGTGCTGCGATGTATCCGCCTCAGCACTGAAGGTTTGGTTTGGTTTATTGTCCCTTGTTTTGCAGCAGCAGCAGCAAATGCCCCGGAGCAGTCAAGAAGAGAAAGATGAAAAAGAGAAAGAAAAGGACAAGGAGGGAGAGAAGGAGGAAGACAAGCAGGAAACAGAAAATGACAAGGAAGAACTGACAAAGTAAGGACAACCCCACCTGCCTGGCTCACCTCCATCTCCAGCGAGGGCTGGGCATCGGGCTGGGGATGCGGCGGGGGGGGGACGGGCTGGTCCAGGGCTGCCTGACCCCGTGCAGGACCATGTGTGCCCACCTCACCTCCTCCACAGGGAGGAAGGGGCAGAGCCTGCTCTCTTCTTCATTTCTCTTCCCTCCTGGCTGGTCCAGGGCTGCCTGACCCCGTGCAGGACCATGTGTGCCCACCTCACCTCCTCCACAGGGAGGAAGGGGCAGAGCCTGCTCTCTTCTTCATTTCTCTTCCCTCCTGCTCCCAAACAAAAAAACCCAAGAAAAGCCACAAAGCCCCTCTGATCCTCCAGCTTGTTTTGTTGTGAGAGCCTCCGGGAGTCAGAGGAGCAATCCGGGCGCAGCCAAGCGCGGCTCTTCACCTTTAGCGTTATTGATGTCAATGTGAGCACTCCCAGATGAAGGGCTTCAGCTAGCCCTGCCTCCCTCACACCGAACGGGGAGCATCGGAGCTGTGGCAGGGAAAGGTTGGCACGCAGACCGCTAGCTATCTGTAATGGGCTTAATACTTGGTTTAAAAGAACATCTGGCTTCATTATATCTAGGCTGCTAAGACATTTACCAGCAGGTCCCTTTCAGGAAGATAAATGAGGAGGAGGCAGGGATGAATTTGAATGGTCTGGTATTAAACCTGTCTCCGTCAGGTCTCTGCGTGCACTTGGTGGTGGAGCTGCAGCCAGCTGCAGAAAGAAAACCCCACCACAAATCAGCCCACCACCAATCCAGCCCGCTCCCAGCCAGGAAAAGAGCCTGCGTGTGCAAAAAAAAATGCAGACCTGCCCCCACAACAGACCAACACAAAAAAAAAAACAAAAACCATCCCCAAACACGTGCAGAGAAATAATTACTTGACCTAAAAACCAGACCAACCCAACAATGTTTTTTCTTCCCTCCCTGTTTTTGCAGGGACAAGAACGACGACACATCTGGGGAAGACAACGATGAGAAAGAAACCGTCACCTCCAAAGGTCGCAAGACCGCCAACAGCCAGGGCAGACGCAAAGGCCGCATCACCCGCTCCATGGCGAACGAAGCCAACAACGAGGAGGCGGCCGCCCCGCAGCAGAGCGCGGAGCTGGGTGGGTAGCAGCGGCGTGGGGACAGGGGGGACCTTGGCAGGGCTTTTGAGGTGTCCACTCTGCTGGGAGGGGACATCACCCTGCTCCATTCCCTGCTCGCGGAGGAGGGGTTTCCTTTGTGAAATCCTCCTTTCAGGGGGTAGCAGTGAGGTTTCTCTATCCCACAAATTACCCAGCGCGGTTCGCCTGGATGAACCAGAGGCATTTGCAAGCCTGGGTTGTCCTGGCTGAGTGTTAGTGGGTTTTAGGGCCTCGGAGGGCAAGTATTGCAAAAGACGAAAAGGGAAACCATTGTTTTTAGCAGTGCATTGGCTGGATTCGTGCAGGACTCGTGCACCTCCTGCACCCAGAGGTGTGTTCCCTGCTGCAGCAGCTCGGGCTCTGCGTACCCTCAAGCTCTGCATAGGAGCCTGCTCTGCCTTCCTGGGCTTGCCAGGGTCCCTGCCCATTCTCCTGCCCTCTCTGTTTCCAAATTTGCCTGGAGCCTGAATAGCTGCAGCCTGCAGGGCCTGTGACCCCCCTGGCCTTGGGAATCAGCCTGGTCCTTTCCTCATCTCTGCAGCTGAAGGACTTGGCAAGGAGGCAGTGGGTTTATGCCTGGAGTGTTTACAGGAGCATCTACCCTGGCTGCAGTCGTGCTGTGCACCCCAGGTTGCACTTGTTTTGCCCAAAAAGCAGCATTTCCTGTGCTGGTCCCCAGTGCCCCTGCTCATTTCCCTCATCGGTAGCCGGCCAGGCGCAGTGGTCAGGATTTTCCTCCCTGTCCTGCCTGCACAAGGCTGCAGGGTGGCTGAGCACAGCGGGCAGAGGCCGGGAGCAGAGCGAGGTGGATGAGGCAAAGCGTGCTGCCCGTAATGTGGCACCCAGGGACCGCGCCAGTCCGTGGCCGTGAGTGGTGGTCGGCCAGAGCTGCGCGATGCCGCTGCG